AAAACTAAAGATTAGGCACCTGCCTAACTGAGAATGTGCAGTTGGAGGGGGTTATACAGCTGTTGGGATATGAGGAAGTAGTAATTCTGGCATCATGGGAAGGTTGAGGGCAGCTGGGATGTAGCTGCAGGGAGGGCTCCAAGGTCTGAGATTACGTGCCTGAGGGTTTGTATTGGCATGAGGTTGCCACAGCATTGAAACTGAGTAAAGTGTCCAACTCCAGGCTTCTGCTTGGTGAGAGCAGTGAATTCAAATTATAGCAACCATGTTTGGGGAGGACATTGGTACATTTTGTGATAGGGGATTCTTGTGGGGGAAGGAGCAGTTGAGGAAAGGAAACAAGATGGCAGCCCACTGGTCACTTGCACATGTGCAGTAGTGAAGTAAGGATGGTAACACACTCTGAAGGGCTTTCTTTCCCTTTCTAGAGGCAGGTGAGAATAGGAAAGTAACCTCTGAGCATATGCAGTTGGGACAGACTTCTCCAAGGGGCATATGTGGTTGAAGGGGCAGTAAAACTGGGAGTTAGCAATGACAAGTAGATAAGTAGGAGCCAGGGCTACAGCTCATATGTGGCAGGGATAGGATTTAAACTAGTTTTCTCTGCCTCTAGGCCTCCTGCTCTTAATATTTTTAGTGGTGTTTTTCTTAAGTGTTGCTACCAGGACCAGATGCATCAGCATCACTAGGGTGCCTTTGGAATACATATTTCTGGGCTGCAGTTACTGAATCAAATACCTATGGGTGAGACCTAAGAATCTACATTTTTAATAAGGCCCCACTCTTCCAGAAGGTGGCAGGGCATGGCACTGGCAAATGACTTCCATGTTGCTATTTGAAGCATATCTTAACAGTCGCAAATTGATGAGAACTGTTGGGGACAAATATAATTGAGGATAAATTACCCTATAACTTCATTTTTTTTTAAAATATGTCTCGCAGAACATCTTTCTCCAGCTATGATCAAATGCAATGAAATCATCTATCAGTTATGAGTCAAATGTCTCCATGAAGTATGTATACAACTTACTGTGCTCACCTTTCTAAAATCCAGGAGGAAGGATGGGGGATGGGAGGGCTGGTAGGGCAGGTTGGACAGAGCATGGAGCCACATGCTCTGGGGCAGAACGCATGCCTGGCAGAGATTCCTGGTCTTTGGCCCAGTGCATGTGAAAAATTGCAAGGTAACTCCAACCAGGCAGGTTTTGAATTGAACCCTGTTCAGCTTTTGACTTTTTAGCTGTTTTTTATGAAGATGAAGAGGTGAGAAAGAAATTAGCATGGAGACTATAGGTGGAAAGTGAAAGAGGAGCTGTTATGAGTATTACTTTTGAAACAGCCCTGTAAGATACAGTACTATTATTCCTATTATTATAAAGATGAGGTAACCGAGGCACAGATGGATTAAGTAACTTGCCTAAAGTCACACAACCTCTAGGTAGCAGAGCTGAAATTTGAATTTAGGTCTAGACTGACTACAGAACTCATTCTCTTTTTTTCTTCCAGCTCCACTGAAATATAATTGACATATATCATTGTGTAAGTTTAAGGTGTACAACGTGAGGATTTGATACACTTACACATTGTGAAATGATAACCACAATAAGGTTAGTTAACATCCATCACCTCACATAATTGCCATTTTGTTTTTGTGGTGAGAACACTTAAGATCTACTCTCTTAGCAACTTGCAAGTATATAACACAGCTTTATTCTCTTAAGCCATCATGTTGTGCTATCTCTATGGATCTAATGCCTATAAGATTCCTAGTACCTGCTAGAAATATTATTGCCAAAAGGTGGTCAATTCTGGATACCTGTCTCTAGAAGGACAGAACTTCTAAGGGTTGATAATCTCTCTGATTAGTGAGAAAAAGTGTTGCCAGTAACTGGCTATGTGACCTTGGGTAAACTGCTGTCCCTTTCTGGGTCTCAACATCCACATCTGTATTGGGAAGAGATTGGAGTAGGTAATCTCCAAAGGCCCTTCTCTCTCCAAATTTCTATGGCTGTATCTGGTGTCTAGGATGATCTCCCATTCCTGGCATGGAGATCCCTTCAGAAGGATTCCCCCTTGGGTAGTGTGGGTGAAGGAAGCTGTCTGTTAGGTAGGCACAGCATTCTCTGAAACAGATGCATTTATTGAGCACTTATTATGTGCCAGGGTACATAGCTGAGGATAAATAAGTCCCTTTCCTTCAAGGAATGAACACTGTAGTGAGGGAAGGAGACAGCAAACAGTTGTAAAGGAAATATATCACAGGATACTTTAATCACAGGAGTATGCACAGGGTGCTATGGGAACAGAGAGAAGGAATATGTAACTTAGCCTGGGGGTTGGGTGTTGGAGATTGTTGAGGAAAGGCTTCCTGGAGGAGGTAATCCCTGGCCTGAGCTCCTCAGCATGGGAAGGTTCCCTCTGCCATGTCAAGTAAGGCACTTGGCCAGCACTAGTTCCTGCTTAAGAAACCACAGAGTTTACGCCAGTCCCAGGGATCTGAATGTGCAGGTTGAAAGCAGAAAGGCAGTTCTTTTATAAGCTTGTGTTCCTTTCTTCCTAGTCTGTGTGGGAAAGTTCACTTTTTATTACCTCTTGCCTTAAAGAGTATACACTGGATGCAGAAAACAGCTTAGGTTTCATTTCCAATTTTGTCTTTAAGCCACTGTGCAAACTCTGGGTTCACATACTCTGGCTCATACCTCCTCGTATCTCAGGATTTCAGTTTATCTGTGGTTAAAAAAAAAAAACAAAAATAGGAGTATTGTTCTATTGCCACTGCATAAATTCCAGAGCCTAGAAAAGTCCTTGAGTGACCAGTTTCATTTCCTTTAAGACTATGAGACAGATAAGAATGCCTTCTAATTTTAAGCATTCCACTGAAGGGAATTTCTAACCCTAATTGGTTATTCTTTTAGTTTCTAAACCCTCTCTCCCTGTCAGGAAGTTCTCTCTCTTTTTCTGTTTAAACTTCTTGCTCTTTCTTAAGGTCTTTGTCTTTTTCTCGGACCTCATTGAGTATTGAAGGAATCTGGTTGCCATATTGCAGACAGGCTTAGGGAGCACTTTGAGATTTTCTTCCAAAAGGATTCATCTGAAGGCAAAATGGGCTTATTAGCTTCTCAGAGTGTATATGGAATCTTTCTCAGTGAGGAAAGACAAGTAAAGTTGAGGCTGGCAGTCCCTGGAGCTAGCCTACCTTTCACTGCCCAGCTGAGGCCTAGAGCTCTGGAACCTATAAATATACCATTCATTCGTCATTGATCAAGTAGCTTCTCTGTGGAGTTCTGTGTTATGTGTTAGTTTCTGCATCCACGTTCGCGGCAGGTGACCTTCCCATGACCTTTGTTGCGGCACTCAAGTATAGTGTTCTTATAATTAGGCTCTCTTGATTGCAAGTAGCAGAGACTCACTGGAGTTCTCTCAGTGAGAGGAGAGTTTATTATAACGTAAGGAAAGTGAAACTGGAAAGCCATTGGGAAGGACTGGATTCTCTCTAGCTCTTTCATGGTGTGTCTGCTTCGTGCCACTGTATTCTCTCCCTCTCCCAATCAGTTTGCTCAGCTTACCCAGAATTGATGTCTATTTCGAACTTCGGATTGAACTTGGCTTCAGTTTGACACAGACTTGATTCTAACTCTTAGTGATTTTTCCTAACTTCTGCTCTATCTGCTAAGTGGCTCAGCATCTCTGTCTGTTGATTAAAATTTCCAGAAACAAAAATCTGGCCCAGCTCATCACTTCATGCCAGATTATGTCACCCATTACCGGCCAGGCAGTGAATTTGGTTGCTTTTGTGTCAGATGCCAATGGTTGGTTCAGTCTACTGTTGTCAAAAGCACAGTGGTGGAGGGGGGGTCATAGGTTATAAAATGTAAACCTAGGCAGTAAGCAAGGGCTGTGGATGAGGCAGTTACCCTTAGAAAGCAGTGTCAGCAAGCAGACACAGATTTGTATCTCTGGTCGAAAGAGTAAGGTTATCACTAAGATCCCACCCACAGAGTTTCCCTGTGGTGACTAAATGACTGAAACGAAATGGAGATGAAGGCAAAGAGCACAGCAGAAGGTATTAGAAGCCAAAGAAAGGAAGAATGCTTAGCATGAAGCTGAAATAATTTCCCAGAAGAAGGATGTATTTCTGGAAGAGGGAGTGTGGTGCACTTGTCACCAGGAGAAGCCTATGCAACGTGTGTGCTTTCTGTGGATCTCAGTCTGGCAGCTGACTCCAAGTTACAGAAATCGTGACCTATCTCAAATGAGTAGGGACCTACTTGACTTAGAGAAGGCTAAATTTTAGGAAAGAATATCAGTCTCTATATCATTATTCTTTGTAAATCAGAACAAAGTAGAAGAGGAATTTAGTTGGAGACGCCAAGTTAGCTTTGTAAGTCATTGTCAAAATCATTTTGGCTGTAAAAAGTACATTGGCCTGGGGCCGGCCAGTGGCTTAGCGGTTAAGTGCGCACGCTCCGCTACTGGCGGCCTGGGTTCGGATCCCGGGTGTGCACAGACGCACCGCTTCTCTGGCCATGCTGAGGTGGCGTCCCACATACAGCAACTAGAAGGATGTGCAACTATAACATACAATGATCTACTGGGGCTTTGGGGAGAAAAAGGGAAAACAAAAAAAAGGAGGAGGATTGGCAATAGATGTTAGCTCAGGGCCCATCTTCCTCAGCAAAAAGAGGAGGATTGACATGGATGTCAGCTCAGGGCTGATCTTCCTCACACACACACAAAAAAGTACATTGGCCTGTCTCGATTCCTAATACTGCTCTTTATGAGTCGTCCCCTGTACTATCTACTGCAACTCACCACCCATGGCATGGCAAAGAAATCCTGTTGAGTTGGTACTGTCATAGACATTTAGGGTAAAAGGGAAAAGGTAAACTCTGAGTGGAGGAGGCAGAATTTGAGCTGAGCTAATCCAGAGGGAATATTGGGGTGACAGAAGACCTGTTATATATATATTTTTCTACCTGTGTATATGCTTTTCTTTGCAGGACTGCTGATAAGCTCAGGCTGTGCATTATACCCCTTAGGATGGAATAGCCCGGAGATAATGCAAACATGTGGGAATGTCTCCAATCAATTTCAGTTAGGTAAGGTGGCCTGGGTAGGATGGCAGTGATGGTTCATTGCGAATCTGTTTTTCAAAGTACTTTACCTCTTGGAAGGGCCTCCGCTTGCTAGTGGTGCTTGCCTGAGTCTCTCTCACTATGTTAGCTTGTGGGAAGTGATGGCTTGGCCAGACTCATTTGGTCTTGCTAACTTACAAGGGTTGGACATAAATTCCACTTTTAAAACTATGTCTCTCTAAACCCTGTATACACTTTTACTCAAGAGTTCTGTGACCAATTTGGGGCAACCCTATCTACAGAGGAATTACAAGTGCTTGGAGACTAACAATCTGTCATCCTCTGAATAAATCCTAGTTCCTATTAATATTTCCTTCTAAGTACTTTTTCCCAAATATGAATCAACAGTACCTCTTCTCATTCTCCTCTGAGGATATAACAAGAGGTAATTTGGTTTACATCAAACATTAGAAACCTAGGTTAAATATTGGGGATTTTTACTTGCATGTTACTGGCATTGTTACATTGTTACTGGCATGTTAATGACAAGAGCTGTTAACTATTAGAATGGGTGACAGAAGTAGCTCTGGACTCTTCTGTGGTTGCCAACTCCCATTGATAATGGCTTAAGTACACTATTGTGAGTTTAGAATAGATTATACTCTAATTGGAAGACTTCAAAATATTTTCCCAACCTACCATAATGGAAGAGAGTAGGAGGGGAAATGTCTAGGTTTCCTTGAGTATTCTCAATTGTAGGAGAGAATTTTGGAACAATGAAGCCACCTATTCCCTATAGCTTATGGTCCAATACTTTCCTTTCTCTCTGTTGCCTCAGACTGTTTTTTGAGTCTCCCCTGTCCATTTTCGGAGGAAGGAGTTGTTCACTGTACAAACATAACACAAAGGAAGTGTTATATAGAAGATGTGACAAGTGTGGACCCTGGAATGTCCAGTGTTCCTAGCTCAGGGCAGAGGTGACTGGTAAATATAATAATTCTGGCATAGGTGAAGGAATGAGTAAATACTTTGGGGCAGGTGCTGAAGAAAAGGGAAGCAAGCTACTAGTCTTCCTAGCTGGGGTAGAGAAAGATGAAGATTTAGCATATTTCTCCTACTTGGTTATTAGACATATAATTCTACTTTTTTAAGATAACAGCTTTATTGATATATAATTCACATGCCATAAAATTTGCCCTTTTAAAGTGTACAATTAGTTGTTTTCAGTATATTCACAAGGTTGTGCAATAATCACCACTATCCAACTCCAGAATATTGTCATAACCCCAAAAAGAATCTCCTTACCCATGAGCAGTCACTCTCCATTCCCCTCTGTGCCCCAGCCCCCAGCAACCACTGTCAATATAGATTTGACTATTCTGGAAATTTCATATAAATGGAATCATATCATATGTGGCTTTTTGTGTTTGGCTTCTTTTACTTAGCATAATATTTTTAAAGTTCATCTACATTGTAGCATGTATCAGTACTTCTGCTTTTTGTGGCTGAATAATATTCCATTGTATGGATGTAACACATTTTACTTATCCACTCATCAGTTGATGGATACTTGGGTTTTTCCACTTGGGGGCTATTATGAATAAGATTGTTATGAATATTTATGTACACATTTTTATATGGACATATATTTTCATTTCTCTTGGGTATATATCTAGGAGCAGAATTGCTGGGTTAAATGGTGACTCTGTGTTTAAGCCTTTTGAGGAACTGCCAGGCTGTTTTCTAAAGTGACTGCATCATTTTACATTTCCACCAACAATGTACAAGGATTGCAATTTCCCAACATCTTCACCAGTACTTATTTTCCATGTTTTAAATTATAGCCATCCTAGTGGGTATGAAGTGGTATCTCACCGTGATTTTAATTTGCATTTCCCTGATGACTGATGATGTTGAGCATCTTTTCATTTACTTATTGGCCATTTCTATATCTTCTTTGGGGAAATGTCTATTCAAATCTTTTGCCTATTTTTAACTGGGTTATTTGCCTTTTTTTGTTGAGTTGTAAGTATACTTTATGTATTCTGGATACTAGACTCTTTCCAGATATATGATTTGCAAGTATTTTTTCCCATTCTGCGGGTTGTATCTTCACTTTCTTGATGACATCCTTTGAAGTACAAAATTATTTAACATTGATGAAATTCAATCTTACCTATTTTTTCTTTTGTTGCTTGTGTTTTTGGTATCATATCTAAGAATATATTGCCAAATCCCAGGTGATGAAGATTGTTTTGGCTATATTGATCCCCTGCATTTCCATGTGAATTTTAGGTTCAGCTTGTCAATTTCTGCACAAAATCCACCTAGGATTTTGACAGAGATTTCAATGAATACATAGATCAGTTTGGAGAGTGTTGCTACTCTAGTAGTATTAAGTTTTCCAGTCTATGAACACCAGATGATGTTCCATTGAGTTAGGTCATCTTTAATTTCTTTTAATGATATTTTGCAGTTTTCAGTATACAGGTCTTGCACTTCTTTTGTGAAATATATTGCTAAGTATTTTATTGTTTTCTATGATACTATAAATAGAATTAGTTTCTTAATTTTATTTTTGGATTGTTCATTGTTAGTGTATAAAAATACAAATGATTTTCCTATATTGATCTTGTATCCTACAACCTAGCTGAAACTCTCTTATTAATTGTAATGATTTTTAGTGAATTTCTTAGGATTTTCTATATAGAAGATCATGTCATCTAAAAAGAAAGAGAGTTTTATTTCTTCCTTTCCAATTTGGATGTCTTTGGTTTCTTTTCTTGTCTAATTGCCCTGGCTAGAACCTCCAGAACAATGTTGAATAGAACTGGTGAGAGCAAACATCCTTGTCTTATCTCTGATCTTAGGGGTAAAGCATCCAATTTTTCACCATTCAGTATTGATATTAGATTTTTTTTCATAGATGGCTTTTATTAGATTGAGAAAGTTCCCTTCTATCTGTTCCTAGTGTGTTAAGTGTATTCATCAGGAAAGGGTGATAGATTTTGTCAAATGTACTTTTTTTACCTACTGAGATGCTCATATGCATTTTATCAATTGAGTTTCCAATGTTAAACCAACCTTGCATTTCTGGGATAAATTGTAGTTGGTCATGGTGTATAATCCATTTTATATGTTGCTGGATTCAGCTTGCTAGTATTTTGTTTAGTATTTTATTGAGGATTTTTACATCTATATTCATTAGGAATATTGGTCTGTAGATTTCTTTTCTTGTGATGTGTTTGTTGGATTTTGCTATGAGGGTAACATTCGCCTCATAGAAAGAGTTGCTGTGATTCTAATTTGATTACTGTAAAATGCCAAAGTAAAAAATTGGCGATGTGATTTGCATGTAGGCATTTGGCAGTTTTCCGCACTAATCACCACCCCAAAGAAACTAGTTCACAAATGAGCAATTTTTTGTGTGACTACCTCTGTCCTAAGTTGAAAGCCTTCAAGCGTGTTTACCACAGGATCATTATTTTTCTTTTTCTTCTTTTACTTATTTTTTTGTTATTGTTTCACTCTTTATTACCTTCTCTTCCTTTCTTTACCCTTCTCTCCTACAGCATATGTTTGCCCAAGGGCTCTAGCTACCCTCTCCTCAGTGCAATGGATACTGTGCTGTTCTGTGAATCCTTAGGAATGAAAGGATTGCTGAAGCCTGCTTGAGTCAAGCCCACCTAGCTCCTTTCTTGAACCACTTTTGTATTCTTCCCACTGCTTAAGTTTCTCTCACCCTTCTGAGGCCCACATTTCCTGCCCATATTCTCCAATTACATGCCTCCATATTACCACATTTCTGGTTAATGCTGAAAAGAAGAGACAATCTGTGCCATCCCTGACCCTTTTTGGTCAGCTGTCCAAACACACACAATAGTGCCAATTGTATTAACCCTTGCAAAATAGAGGTGACAGAAGTAGCAGCAAAACATGTAGTAATATTAAAAGGCATTTTTTTATGATGTGTTAGGAATACAAAGCTTGTGAATACCAAGGTTCAGGAATGCCAGTGCTAGAAGTAGAGCCTTTCTCCCTAGACCTTTCTTTAATATTTTGGAGAGTCTGGCAGTGTGGAAGCATACTTGTCACACCTGAGATATTGTATAGCTGGATGAATGAAATGGTAGAAAAGTACCCTGAGTGTCCCGTGACAGACTTTTGTGACTTTTTCCTTGAGAGGCAGCATAGTATGCTGAAAGTTCACAGGCTTTGGAGTCAAAGATCTCAGTTGGTATCCAGGCTCAGCAACCTATGTAGTTGTATGGGATAAAGTCGCTTGATGTCTGTGTCTCAGTCTCCTTCTCTGTAAAATGGGGGATAATAATAATATCTGTCTCAGTGCTATTGTTACAATTAAATAAAAAAAGTATATTAAAGTACGTAGCACAGTGTTTGACTTAGGTGGTGGCCTGCTTTAAAAGATAGCAGAGTAAAATGCGTTGGGGAGTAGAATATCAATTGATGACATTTCCTTTGATTCTGCTGTAGGCTCTATATTCTACTATGTGCTCTGTATTTTGGGAAAGGAGATTCACAGAGCCAAGAAAGACATGGACCCTACTCAAGGAACAAAGTTTCTTACCCTGACTTACTTGAGAGAGATGAAGGGGGTAGGGAGGACAATAGAAGCAGGCACTGACAGTCTGCCAAGGTGATTCTGAGAGTAAGTAAAAAAGATTTCTCTGACACTCTGAATGGCCTCTTGCAGCCTCCAGTGTGAAGGGATCACACTCATGTCTTCAACTCCTCTTTCCCTAGGTTTTCATTCAAGTTATCCTGAACCATCCACAGTTATGATTTTTAGTCCTAACCTGAATTATCAAAGATATAACTTGTATTAAGGCAGCAGCCTTGATGTCCGTGTTGGATTAAAAATAGCCACAAATTCTTTGATACTTTTCCCATAGAGAGGCCAGGTCTATCTGTACCACCTATCCCCTGAATCTGGGCTGAAACATAACTGCTTTAACCAATAAAATATGGCAGAAGTGACATCAAGCTTGTTCTAGGCCTACCCT